CCCCCCCCCCCCCCCCGCCCCCGAAGGGTATTGACATGGCAAAGGAATGCCCGCTGCCTGGGGAGAATGTAATATTCTCTAAGTAAGGTAGTTTGTCAGGGGGAAACCAGGATGTCCCTCACAGGACTTCTGCGGCTGGAGTGAGATCTGGTGGCGGAGAGAAAGCTGCAGAAGAGACCCTCGGCCAGAGCGGATTTCAGGGAAGGATCAGCTCCTCTCTATCACTTTTCTGGCCATTGTGGTTTCTCCACCAGCTCCTCTTCCTCCCCCCTGCTACAGTTTCAGAGGCTCCTGGACCTACTTATTGAGACGGAACTGGCTCTAACCACGAGGCGGATGCCCCACGAGGGGCAGAAGCCACCTCGGTCTTTCGGCTGAGCAGGACGCAAGCTTAGCAGCCCTGAAGCTTTTGCTTCAATAAACAGAAAGCAGACACCAGGCCAGCGGGTTGCAGGGCGGCGTTAATTAAGGGCGGATAAGAGTCACTCTCGACTTTCAGCCCATCTCCGTTCCCTTTATATTGAAACCAAAGTCCATTTGACCCACATTTCTTATCAGTGTGTGAGCGTATGAACGTGCAGATTTATTTCATGCACAAGTTTCCTTGAAAAGGCTTGTTTTCTCCATAGTTTTTCTATTCACCATTTTCGTCACAAAGTCCCTTCCGTACCATTTTCACTTGAGTCTGTTTTTAAAAAAAAAAAAAAAAAATCCAAAAAGCAACTGACATTGGGTTTTGGACACATTTCCCCTCAAATACGTATTGCCTCCCACACTCTTCTTAATGAAATGCCATTTTTCTTACGTTCCGTAATCTACGCTGGGAGAACTGGAGCATCTTCAGCACCCACCTGATCCGCCCTGGTTTCTAAGCAAACTCGCTGCCTGCAGGGGTGAGGGGAGAGGCCTTCCGAAATCAGCAGTCTCTCTAGGCGTGAGGTGGGGAGGGGTCTCACCAGACACTGTCCTGGGGGCCTGGCCGAAGCCATGATGTCACGCTCATCATGACATCATCAGACAGAAACGACGCTAACTGTGCCATTTGTGTGAGATGTCGCTTGCCCTTCCTAGGGACCCCTGCGGCCACCACCACGCCACTTCAGGCCCCGTGGAGGCAGAAAAGAAGGGAAGCCTGTGAAGTAAATGAAAGACACACTTGCAAACTGCCTGTTGCAGTGAAAAAGCCAATCCACCTCATCTCCAGAACACAGAGAATTTACTGCCCTTCATGGACTGCCGTATTTCAGTCCAGCCCATTTTGGAGGCCCAGCCGAGCTTGGAATCCTGTCCTTAATAAGAGATGGGAGCAGCTGAGGGAGGACTTCTCGGCTGCTTACCACCAACGGCTGCTTCGGCTGTTGTTTCTTCACTCACCAACCACCGTAAAGCTGAAGCAAAGGCACCACCATGGATTCAGTCAGGGAGGAAGAAGAAGACTTCCTCCCAGTTAATTCCCTGGTGGGAGTTCAGGGGGCCATGCTAGATGAAAGGTGGAGACATCCTTGAGTTGAGCTGGACTCCTGGTGCACATCCATAAGGATTCCTTGCCAATGCTGTGGAAGTGATTTGCCACTTCTCCTTCTGGAATTTTTCCCCCTATTTCTCAGTTTGTTTACGGCTCTGAAATTTGCTGATAGCCTCCCATCCAAGTGTTAACTAACCCCAATCCTGCTTTGCTTCCAAGCCCAAACAAGATCCTCTGGCTGGTGCCAGCTGCTGAAACAACTGAATGACTTGCTTATTTATCTCTACTACATTTTCATATCTCACTAACCACCATATTCTCACCATGGTTTGTAATAAAACCATAAAACAGAAGTCATAAATACATCAAAATAAGGGCCAAGGTCATCCTTTTGTTAAGGAAAGCTTGACAAAGAAGCTCCTGGCTGTTACCTGAATCTGGGACAATGGAGAAAGACCCAAATCTGGAAATCTCCTAAGCAGTCTACCTGTCATTTCTGGGCAGTCCAAGCCATGTAGAAAGAGAAACCCCACCACCTGCCTGGAATTATGAATATCCTACAAGGAATTCCTGGTCTATCCTTCACCCAACCCCTCCTCTCCTCTAAGCTCACATTCAGGAGAACCACATCATGATCTGAAGAGAAATAGCTTTGACAGTCACCAGCATCCTAATCTCTGGATGGTCCCCTGCGCTGGTTTCATACAGATACTGGAAAGCCTTGGAGAGAGAATGAAACCCTGAGCATAAATGCACCCTGTCGGTGAAGGAAAAAGAAAAAAAAAATAACATCAAAACCAAAAACTAGAACCAAAGAAATCCCAGGAACTGTTCCGTGGCAGAGTTTTGGAGACAATGTTGAGTTTCTCAAGGAACCTCGTGTTGCTAGACTGCTGTTTTGATCACTAGCTGGAATGAAAGTCTCCTTGAAGCCTCTGCCTGATGCTGTTTTCCATTTTCCATTTGCATTTAAAATGCCCATTAAGAAGACCCTCTACTGTTTTTGTAGAACACTTAAAGGTCAGGCGTGGAACATTACTTAATGTACTGTCCAAATGGATTCCCTCTTCTTCTCCAGGAGCTGCATAAGCAGATGGTTTTTTATGTGGAAGGAACAGGCTGAAGTTGTCCATAAATTGTTCGATCCCCTAAAGATGGTGTGTTTACTGTTCTGAGCCACCCGGATACGTAAGTTTTCACGAGAGGGAGGTGGGCCAGGCGGGCCTCACCCCCCGCAGCCACGCTTTGCTGGGCGAAGAGGCTCATTCTGCGGGAGAGATGGCTTATCTCAAAGTGTATATTTACCACACTTCAGGACCAGCACGTCTCTCTTCAGAGTGTGGTTCATAAGCCAGTGGAGGAAACCACAGGCTGTTAAGACTAAACATTCTCCAGTAAGCCTCCATTAGCGTGAGCCGTGGAGAGGGCAGTTACTGAATTTTTCCAAATAAATAAAGCAAACAAGTTACTTCAGGAAGAAAAATCACAGCTCCGTGATTTATAATCGTGTGCTGGTCTGCTGAGCACAGAATGAGCCTAGTGAATCAGCTGTCACGGGCCACCCAAGAGGTCTGGTCTGCCTCCGAACCCTTACCTCATTCTAAGTGGTGTACAACCACCAGGAGTCGAGGCTGGCCCTGGCATTACTCGTGTGGGCAGCTTCCTCGCAAGTTCCACTCATTGCAGTTTTCCTCAGCCTCCAGAACGGACAGCTATTAAGGAGGGAATATAGGGATCCTATTTACAGCCTTTTGGCATTGGGTGTAGAAAGAGAAATTGGAAAAATCCTCCTCCAAAATCAATGTTTGCTCTGCTGAGGGGCTCCTTAGGTGTACATTGGAAACCATTTCATCTCTCTTGCACAGTTAAGTCACTCGAAAGCTGGGCGTGCCAGCTAGTAGTAGCTCCTGATCCAGAGTCAACAGCCTGATGCGCTGAGCCTTAGCAGATCCCCTGCACAAGCAGACGGAAAATAGCAGGGGTGTCACAGCACCTGATGAATTATCCTTACAGGCAACATAACGGAGGGCAACTTAATCTCTTGGCCCACTTCCTCTTGCACTTCTGACATAAAATATCAGCTGACCTCATGGAGTTCAAGGATGTTTGAGAGGCCTTTCTCCTGCTCTCATCCAAGCTGTAAGCGTGGTGTGTACATATCATCCCAGGCAGGGTGAAGGTTCAAAGGAGGTTCTGAGGATTTGTTTTCCTCTTGCAGCCTTCACATCTTTGTCATGCTTAAAACAATGACAGAAACACAAGCCAGTTGGCTTATTAGGGCTACTGCCTTAATAGGAAATGCACACATTGCAACCTGGGTATATGTATCGACCACACTTTGTTACTCATCTAGCCGGGACAGAAATGAGCTTTGAATGTCAACCAGACATCCTTTGAATCTGCAGAGATGGGGCTCGACTCGGAGGTTCTTCTTACTACCTGTCCAGTTTTAAACTCTTGAAACTAGCCACAGAAGTGCATAATTTTACATGTGATCTTATTTAGTATTATTATTTTTTACTCATGGGGTAGAATTGGAGGTCCCCTGGGCAACGTTTGGCTGATCTCTTCCACCTGCTGTTTCCAATGGCGAACTTCTGTGAAAGAAGACACAAGAGCGTGTGGGAATTAGATCCTTGGTTTCTTTAACCAGAGTTTCATTTTTATTGTTGTTTGGGTGTGTTGCCCTCTCTCTCACACCAAAAAAGCACCACTGTGAAGCCTTGAAAGTGCCACAGATATTTCCTGACTGCAGGGCTATGGGAGAGGAAGCACAGATGTCCTCAGGGAAAGGGTCAACACAGTCAAGATGGCAGCCACAACCATGTGATCAGGGCCCCTCTTTTTTCACATGTGTTTGTGTGGCTCAGTTGCTAGAAGAGAAAAATGCAGGGCCCAAAGGATTTATGTGTAGCCAATAGATCACGCACACTTTTTCTTTTTTAACTCATGTCTTGATGTGCAATGGTTGGTTAGATGCTGTGAGTTTCAGATGTGGCTTCGAACATTGTTCTTTATACTGTCTTTTCCTCCCACAAGCTTTGATTTGTTCTGAACTTTAATTGTCACAAACAATTATTTCAAGCATTAGTATTAAGACTGCGGGTGCTTCCAAGCCAGGACAGGAGACCTTCTGGGATCCAACTCCTTATTCAAGGTATGGTATGGCTTACGAGAAAGCTGGCGGTGGCGTGATGGTGGCTGTTGACAGTTTGTTTCCCAGCCAGAACCCCAGTGTGACAGTAACTTAAACTTGGGGAACATTATTCCTCTTCTTAGATGTTATGTAATGGTAATGTATTGCAAAGTATCCTGAGTATTTTTTTTTCCAAGTGGAGGGGAAATAAGGAGATAATTAAATAGACTTGGGTGGCCACCTTCCTAAGATGGTCCTGCCCACCACCCGGCATTCAGTGGGCATTGGTCTAAGCCCACTGAAGTGTGATCCCTTAAATTTGATTCTGCGCAACCATAAAACAGGGCTCTGCGTGTGGAATGAAGCTATCTGAACATAGTACCTGTTAAGCTTTTCCAGAAAACTCTGTTCCAGAGCTTTGGGTCGTGAAAATATGCTTGAAAGTGTGAGGGTTATCTACAAGCAGGAGGAGGTGTCCCTTACATGTTTTGGACTTCAGCATGGACAGGGGTGAGGGACTGTGAGATTTGTAGTCCAAAACATTTGCAATACGTTACATTTCTTATCCCTTATAGCCAAGAGAAATCTCAAAAACTGGAATAAGATTTCCAGTTGCCTGGAAGTTAAGAGACCTGATTAACTTCTTCCTTTCCCAAGAAGTAAAGATGATACGATTCTGCAAACTGTATGGGTGATACAATCCTGTTTTTTAATGCATGTTGGTTTTAAAGAACATAGACAACACAGTAAGGTCTGGCTCACTTGTTATCATCATCGTTAACATTAAATATATTGCTATATTTCATCATAACAGGATTTTCAATCAGTTGGAGAAAGAGAGCTCAGTGTCATTG